ATAAGTCATCAGTCAAAGAAAGACAAATACCATATAATTTTGCTTATATGTGGAGTCTAGAGAACAAAATAAATGAACAAACAAAACAGAAACAGATTCACAGATACAGAGAAAAGTCTGATGGCTGGAGAAAATGGGTGACAAATGTGAAGGGATTAAAAAGTACAAATTGGTAGTTACAAAATAGTCATGGGGATGTAAAGTACAAAATAGGGAATAGGCAATATGTTGTAATAATTATATATGGTACCAGATAGGTACTGGAAATATCGGGGGGAGGGACACTTTATAAAATATATGAATGTCTAACTACTATGCTGTGCACCTGAAACTAAAACAAAATAATATAGAATGTAAACTGTAATTTAAAAATAAAATTTAGTCATCCTGTTTTGAAATGCCAGTTCAATTTCCGGTCAGGTCACATGCCCGGGTTGCAGGCTTGATTCCCAGTAAGGGTTGTGCAGGAGGTAGTCGATCAATGAATCGCTCGATCAATGAATCGCTCTCACAACAGTGTTTATCTCTCTCCCTCTCTCACTAAAAACCAATTAAAAATAAAATAAAATTTAAATAAAAAAAGTACTGCCTAAATTAGTTAATCTCGGGGGCGAAGGGGTGTCAAAGGATTTACATTCCCCTAAAAGGAAAATGGAGAAAATACTTAAGAACTAGATATCTATATTTATAGCAGTCAAAATTCCATGGCTAATCAACATTCACATTAAACCTTATAGTTTTCAAAAGTTCAATTAAAAATGTTGCTAAATTCTTAGTATGGATCCTATTAGATGTATGTTGTGTCAATGAAAGTAAACACTTCCACCCAGAAGATACTTCATCAGGACCCAGGAGAAGACGGGATGGGTGGTCTTCAGTCAATGCACAGTTACAATGTACACATCACACGGGAGAAACAAGGAAAAGACGGCAGCATGCCCTCCGGTGCTGGGGCATGTCTCCTAGCAACATGGAAAAACAACTCTCTGCTAACAAACTGTCAAATAATAAGTGTTTACAGACCATCATTTAGAAACTGAATTCCAGATAGAGCTAGGAATATTAACATTCCCAATAATTCCAAGCTGTTTAAACTTTTTCATACTTATCCAGATTTTATCAAACAAGAATGATTTCTTATGATAATTTACTTCAGGAACATAAAGTGTATGTCCAAATGAATCAGGGCATCGTTTTCTTAGGATCCCTGATTCCCAGTGAACAAATATTTGATGTTTCTTTAAAGCATATATCTGTCTAGAGTACTCTTGTCACCATGGGCAAAGTGATAAATCTGGTGTCAGGACATATTACTTATTCATTGTTAGTTTCTAAATGGCAGTTCACCAAGATAATAAATTTGGACTCTCAAAAGAAATGATTTTTCTAGAAACAATGCTATCTTCATTTCACCACTTGTTTTGAGAAAAAATTTTCCCATTTCAACAGAATGGTGGGATGACATTGCCTTCAATTTCAGCATTTCTGTTTCAGCCTTCTCTTCTAGTGATAATCTATGCCCATGTTGACTGATATTTAATTCATTTAGTGAAACACTGAAATGAACATTATTATTAAAGTAATGTGAGATGTATCTTTTGAAGTGCAGTTTATGATTCTCTATGATTTCCTTTCATTAGATGTCACACAATTTGCAAATAAGCTATTTTACAATCCCATATATGTGAAAAGCTACTGTGCTTTCAACAGGGAAATGAAATTGTTTTAATTGTGAATAAACCTTTACTGTCATCATATATAATAAAAGGCTAATATGCAAATTGACCGAACAGTTGACCAACTGGTTGCTATGATGCGCACTGACCACCAGGGGGCAGACGCTCAATGCAGGAGCTACCCCCTGGTGGTCAGTGTGCTCCCACAGGGGGAGCGCCGCTCAGCCAGAAGCTGGGCTTATGGCTGGCAAGCGCAGTAGTGGTGGCAGGAACCTCTCCCACCTCCGCGGCAGCGCTAAGGATGTCCAACTGATGGCCTAGGCCCGCTGCCTCAGGGAGGCCTAAGCCATCAGTTGGACGTCCCCTGAGGGCTCCCAGACTGTGAGAGAGTGCAGGCTGGGCTGAGGGACCCACCCCCTGAAGTGCTTGAATTTTGTGCACTGAGCCTCTAGTCTATTATAAATTCTAGAGATTCTTCAATACATTCATATCACTCATCAACTAAGACTTGTAAAAGAAGGAAGAAAGTATATTTATACTTACAAGCATTTAGAGAGCACATGAGAGTTTAATTTGGTTAATCCTTTAGAAAAATATCCTAATTTATTAATTTCAAGAGTTATAATTTCTAAGAATTTTAAGAAATAGCAATTAGAATTAGAATACTAAAGTTAGTACTGTCTGAATTCTGTCATTATAATACTATAACCTTTGAAAATTCTTATTTAATTTTAATCTCATTTAGTTATGGCCAGGATATGTATGCAAATTAGCTTTGACAGAGATCAACTTGTCAGCAGATGGAATCTTGTATTGTTATATAAGTTATGCCACCACTACAAATCTTCATGTCAAAAAGGTTAAATAAGATATTCATACCAAAATAGATATACCACTGGAATAGTGTAAAGAAAAAATTATAAATAGTTTCATATGAAATGTTCATTATTGTTTTGTTTGCTCTCATAATTTATGTTTTTGAAATATAAAATATCATGACACAAATATTAATTTAGAAACATTGATATTGGATATTGGATATATTGACATAAATTTGTAACTCTTTATTTACAGAAAATGCCATGTAGCATGTAAAACAAATTCCAGATAGATATATTATATCGTATGATACAATTTATACTAAAGTTATTATTGGCAACTTTTAGGCATTTAATGACTATTTGAGGTATTATAAATATTTGTGAATATGAGATCACACACATTAAATATTTTGGAATTTTTAGTTAGTTGGAATTAAAAGTAATGGCTAACTCGCCATGAAAACTTTTGTCTTTTGCTCTAGTTTTGGACCTAAGGATATCTGCTTTTCATGGTCAAGAACCTCAAAATGTATGTCATCTGTCTCCACCTTGTGGTTACTGTAAATATTGCTATTTTCTAATTTAGCACTGCTTTCTAAATATACTTGAGAGACTGAGAGACTATGAAAATATATGACTGCTTAACTACCTTTGGATTTTTACTTTTAAACAACAGACATTTTTTAAAATTATTTCACACAACAGGAAAATTCAGATACATTATGATATCAAAGTGTTAGGTCATCTAAGGCATTTCTAGGTCTCTTTGTCAATGTTATTAGTAATTGCTTGAAAAATACTATATAATTGTAGTATCACATAGCTAAATTGGATACTTAAGCAGCCTGTTCAGGACAACTCCATATATGTTTAGTTTCCCTTAGAATTTCACATTACATACAGACTCTGTATGACACTTTCCAGGAAGTCTCAAAACAAGGGAAATGTTTTTCTGATAAGAAATTGTTCTCCTTTTTCTCCCCTGAAAAATAGAAGTCTTAGGTAATACATCTTAGGTTCTTCAATCAATGGTTTATTCTATATCTTGAAGACAAACACCTAACTTCCAAATACCCATTATTTTCTTATTTTTCCATTAGGTTAAAAAACTGGAGCTATTTCAGGATCAAAACACATTGCTTTGCCCTAACTGGTTTGGCTCAGTGGATAGAGCGTTGGCCTGCAGACTGAAAGGTCCTGGGTTTGATTCCAGTCAAGGGCACATGCCCAGGTTGGGGGCTCGATCCCCAGTAGGGGGTGTTCAGGAGGCAGCAGATCAATGATTCTGTCTCATCAGTGATGTTTCTCTCTCTCTCTCTCTCTCTCTCTCTCATTCTCTCTCTCTCTTCCTCTCTAAAATCAATAAAAAAAAAAAAAACACATTGCTTTCAGGAATTTATGGTCTGTCCAGTTTTGTATTAATGATGGGAAATTCTCACAAAAGTACTTAATTCCTAGTCAACTTGTCTGAGTAAGAGAAAGCTGCCTAATCAAATCATCTAGGACACAACTTGAAATGTAATCTGAGCAAAAAAGTTCCTACCTGGTTAAATTAGTTAAACGAAAATTGCCAACTGTTACATTAACTAAACATATTTGTCACTTTTGAGTTTCATGTATTGTTGCATGTAGAGTTCTATATTGTGTAGAGAAGTTTAAGTTCTATTGATTTGAAAAAGCTACTTCAAAATCCAGCAGAATGCCGTAGTCCCTCACACAGTCACATTGCTTACAACAGTATAGGATCTTGATTTTTCTCATGATTTAGGTGTAAACTACATACTCGCTTGCTTGTACCCATGCTCCACGGTGAGATGCATCAAGCCAGCACCTCTTTAAATGCACGTTATGGACATTGCAGAAAACTGTGCATCATACAGTTAACATATAACCTCACTTTAGCACAGACTTCCACTGTGTTCTTTCTTGCTGATAACTTTGAGTTTTAATATTTCTATTATGCATTCTTTCAAGAAAATAAAATAAACATGAATAATTTGTTTCTTTACAAGTTTCAAAGATTAAATACCCATCATAATTATCCCTCAAATGTTTATGCTCCAACCTTAATTGCCCAAAACACTATGGTACTTATTTATGTTAACTAAAGCTAAGGATTCAGATAATTTAATATAGATATATGATTTTAGGATACATGTTCATAAAACATGAGAAGACAAAAGAAAATGCTATTTATATGCCTCCAGGAGAAACTATTTGAGAAAGAGATCTTACTCTGTATACAATTAACCACTGAAACATAAATGAGTCTGTATCTTTAAAATGATCTTCAGATAAGAAAAGCCCTGAAGAAAGCTGGAATTCAGGAGGGGCAGTTAGAAAACACAGGAAACTTCACTGGTAACATTTCCATCCCAAAAGCTGTAACACTGCTCTGCTCAAATATCGCATTTAGTATGTAATTTATGATACACATATGTTCAACTGATGTCATCATGCTGTAAGGATACATACCATCATGCGGTAACAGGCTGACACTTACCTTTTTCATTGCCATTTGCATACGTTGGAGGCTTGTTTTTGTCAATGCTGTTAAAGCTCTGACTTCTCCTATTTAAGTTAGAGGCTCCCTGGGCCTTGCTGCTGCTGCCCGCAGCGGGCACCCTAGAAGGTCCTGGAAGCCTGAAATAGTACAAGAAAAATTACATCATTATTGTACATTCTGAAAAGCTGTGGAGCAGGAGGTTCTGAGCAGGGAAGTGTTCATAGGAAAATCACAACATATGACGTTCTAAAATCTACGCAGCAGAAAATGTTGTTTTACGTGACAAATAAATAGCTAAGGTGTGAGAATCTCCAGAAAAAAAATCTTTTTTCACTTTTCAATAAATATAGCTCCAAAGTATTTAATAATATAGAGCAATTAGAAATCAAGTCACCTTTAACGGAAAGAAACCATACTTACCATACCCTGATGAATAAAAATTTGACTTAAAAGTACTGTAACAATTACATAAAAAGTGAGGGAAATAATAACACTTTATTATGTTCTCAGGGCATTAACCAGCTACCTGCAGTTGTTTAAGCTGTTCTTATCACTGTATAGATATTTGTTTTTATCTCCGGTAGCTGTATCCTAAATCAACTTGTACATCAATAACAAGAAGAATGAAGTTACTGAACCAACTGCAAAGAGCAACTACTTACTGAACACTTAAGCTAGCTAGCTACTCTAAAAGCTTGAGTGCAGAGCAAGGTCATAAGTCCATTCATTTCTGATCAATCTCATTGTCATAAAAACTTTCATTCTCTTGCCAAAGTAAGCACCTCACAAGTGTAGCCAACTGATCATAGAAGAACTATAACAAGAAAGACACAGGTCTCAGCAGAAGGAAATCTCTGTTCGCAGAGAGACAATTTAAAATACACCTACACTGACAGTAGCTTTGGCTATTCTTTGTCTATGAAGGACAGGGCATTATGAAATATGTGCAGACTGTCTTGAAATTAGAGGAAGTTTGACAGAAAGTTACAATCTTCAGTTATTGTATTTGGACTATAAAGATCAGTTTGGATCATTTCTTTTACTGTTTAAATGATATCTATATTAAAATTTTAAGTATCAAAATTTTTTCGTGAATTGTGCTTAAAATGTACAATTGCTATATTTTATACTACTAACATATCTTGTACATATAATAAAATCGATCCACATAAATTAAAAACTAGAAATTAAGAACTAATACTGGCATTCTGAGATATATTTAAATACATGACAGTAAAGGTTGCTATCCACTTGGTAGTGTTTGCTGCCACCATGTGAATGCCACTGTGTACTGCTGTGATAATTTCCTTTTTAAAAGAAAAAAAAACAACACAAAAATAACCCAGAACTTATAAAACATCACTACATTTTTTTACTGGTATCTTTTATAAAATGTCTAAAATAATGTTTATATCTGTTATATTGGTGCCTAATATATCACAATTTCACAACCAGTTGTGACAATGTTCACATTTTAAATCAATTTACAATATTACTTAATATATTATTTCCATAGGTGATTAGGAAATTGAATGCTTACATAATGTAAACACTTTTTAAAACAGTAACGGGTATTGCAAAATGGAATGAACATCAGGAAAACACAAATAGCAGCTTAAAAACAGAAGTCTTGATTTCTTGGAATAGTTAATAGTTTCAAAATGCTGATTGTATTTTGGAGTTTAAATATGTGGCTAATAAAGATCTCATCAACTATTTTGCTAATGAGAGGTTGTGTCATACACAAGATCAGAATTTTTTCCAAATGATTAAAGCAATTAAATTTTTGCTCAAATTGAATAACAGACATTGTAAGTAAAAGCACAATAACCACAGACACAGGGATTCTGAGAATTAGTGATTGCCCTCTGCAGAAAGGACTCAACTAATTAATTTGGCCAAATGTCCCAATCAAAATAAATCTGAAAACTATTCCTGTAGACCCAGTCATTGATTTTAAAAGTTCTTTCCAAACTCACATGCATAAACAAACTTTGCCATCAAACTTGCCCTGCTTGCAATAAAAGTTCATCTGTTTCTAGAAAGCAATTAAAATGCATTTTAATCTTTACTGTGACCCATGAAGCCAAGTGATCTTTAGTTCTCAGTAAAAAAAATTTAAAAATCCATTTGCTCTTCTCATTACCCTCATTTGACAAGCAGCCAGAGCTCCAGATCATTCATCAAAGTAATAAAAAGAGAAATGAGAATAAAGCTGAAAAAAGGAAGAAATTGAGACGTTCTATTAAATCAAAGTCCGTAAAATATATTTTATATGCATCAGTCTTGGAAGTGGTAATAAAAATGCTTATGTACGTGACAGCTCACTGTTCGATTTATAACATCTCTTCTAATTTTCATTAAATACCCCTTTAATTTGTCTCTCCAGAATAATTGTAATTATTATGGAAATGAACATAACTTAGAAAACTGAGGTGAGGGGCAAAGCACATACCTCAAGTCAAGGTATCATAAGCAGTCCTTGTGGTCAAACACTGCGCACCATGATTCATTATCACAGCAGTGACCAGTAAACCACCCCTGAGATACTTCCCCAGCAAATGAGAGGCATACATAATCACATAATAATCAGGGTACAAGACACATCTGGTGTGGCTTCGCTCAGCTGTTCCACGCTACCATCATGCCTTCAGCAACTTCACAGTGAAAGGGGAACCAAACACTTTCCACACATTTTCATATACCAGTATTTTCATATTTTCCAAACAGAAATGCCATGTATTTTAACAGACTGTCTTTAAAATGCACACATCATAAAGAAGCTAGCATTAAATCTATGATAGATAAAAGAACAGGCCTGGCTGACCTGGTACTAACTTCCCCACATACGTCTGCCAGTGTTTCTTCATTCTGCTTCAAGATGTGCAATAATTAATGCATGCCCATCTCAGAAAGCAATTGTAACGTTCGTGCGTAACTTCCAGATTCCGTGACCTGAAGTGGGTTCTTCCAAGCAGTTTCTTTCTTGACTTTCTCTAAGCCTGGAAGCTAGACTTCAGCCCAGTTGTAGCACTATGTATGACAAACCTAAAGTAGAAGCAGCCAAATCCATTTTCATGATCTAACACAATCACGCTCATCCCGAGACTGCAGAGGAATAAGCCTCTTAGAAGAATTCAGTCCTCTAAACTTTTCATCCAGAAGAATGTAATGTTTGAAAGCAATTAGAATGATAGGACAAAGCATCATGGGGCATTTACTTGATTATCACTGTTAAGCAATACATTAGAGATAGTAACTGACCTAGTGGGCTTTTTTTGACTGGTTGCAATTCCACTGTGATTAGACTGAGCTGCATATCTGGCTGCCAGACTGTATGAGGAGAAACAGAGAAATTGAATTAAAGAGATTCTTTGAACATGGAAAGAAGGCACAAACTTACAAGGAAACTATGAGTTAATGAAATGCAATTGGAACATGTATACACATGTACAAAGAATAAATTAATTAGAAAATTATGATAATGCAACATATATAGCATGACATTTGATTATGAACACACTGTGAGATAATGGGGTGCACCCCTTGTAACGAAGTGTCATCGTTGACTTTAAAATTAAGCCTGTGTGATCCTATTCCCATTATTGTAGTAGTAGTATTTTACCTTTTAAAATATTTAACCTTTGTAAATGACTATGAAAACTTCAGGAAAGCTAAAGTTTGACTTATATAATAGAAAGATATCTTCCTCCAAAAGTTAAAATGAAAATAAGAATATGAAATGAGTCATTATTTTCTTTAATAAACTCTTCTAATTTGCTATTTTAACCTGTTAGTTTCAAAACCACCTGATTAAAATATCTGATTTCTAATAATTTATTGTTGCTCTTCCATCCTAGATAGAGTGTTTTAAGGAAGTAAACTCTACAGATGTTTTTCTGGAGAAAGAGTTACACAAAAATTGAGATTAAATTGGAGTTAAATTCTTCAGAAACAAACAGCAATTATTGACAGCTTTTGGGCATTCTTTAATTATAATTCTTAATTATTTTAAAATAAAAAAAATCTTTAATCAAAACCACACAAGAACACGTTATTTAAACCAAGTTTTGAAGAGCAGTGAATATGTTACAAACCAAACGAAAATGTGTACTTTGAGTTAAGCTGATTTCCAAATTATCCCTGGCGTCTGAAATTGGTGATCTGAAGGACATGGTGAGACCTGAAACATGTCCACACACCCTGGGATGGTCATGGGTTGACTGATGTGTGGAGAATCACTTCTCAGGTGACTGGGATGACTGAACAGTTGTTGCATGCATAGTTTCCAAGGCCTCCAAGGAAACAGGAACAACATGGGGTGTTGGAATCAGGGAAGAAGGGTCAGTTGGAGCCCCGCTGCAGTAGATCCAGTTGCTTTGCTGCTATGCAAAGGGTATCTTAGTCAAGGATGGATTTCTTAAGATGATGACATATTTCCCAAGTTAACTCTTACCCCGCTGAGCCAAGTCTGTGGTAGGAACATGCAGGTCCTTAAAACTGCCTGGCTAGACAGGAATAAATCCTCATGTCAAGGAAGCTTTTCAGGTTCACAGAGCACTTGTTTCTTCACATTGGGCTTGAGATACGTTATTACTTGCATATAGTATTGCTTTCTCTATTCTAAGTATACTGGACACTGAGTCAACTGGCCAACTGACCTCAGTAGCAATAAAAACAGAGGATAATTTAAAATAAAAACCGAAGTGCCTCAGTGAAATAAGACAGTTAATTTAAAATTAAAAAATAAAAGTATCTAAAGTAAAGAAAACCTTTTGTGAATGTCTCAGCCTATTGTGTCAATCTAAGAGTAAGAACTATCTAAAGGTTCACCACTGTGGGGTATCCTGTAGCTCTCCAAACTGAACACAAAATTAGCAGGAGAGATGGCAATAAAACAAGGGACTTGAAGCTACCTTATTGGTTTCTCTTCCATTTTAAGAAATATAATTTCTAATATAGAAGTGAAAAAAACAACAAAATTTAGAGAGATCAAGGAACATGACCCAAACCAATTTGGTTTCATGGCTCATATGGGTTTTCTAATGTAATACAAGAGAATACTTGTTGCCTATATCATTAAACCAAGCCTTCCTACTTCAATCTTTTGAAACTTGGCTTCTGCTTTGCTTCCCTTGCACTTGTGAAACTGCTAATCAAAGAACACAGAGTTGTATTCAGTTCTCACCATACTCTTAACATCTTTGCATTTGGCCTCATTGTTCCCTCTGCCTTTCCAGTCTCTCTCTTTCAGAGACTGCCATACCAATAAGCTCAGTGGATTTGCCCACCACCATTCTTGTCCATTTTTCCTTTCCTTTAAAGGCCTTCTTTCTTTTAAAGAAATGATTTTTCTTACGTCCTCTTTCTTCAAAGACTTGCATGCATTCTTTCACTTAGAAATTTGTTTCTTACCTAAGATTTCAAGTATAATATACTAGAAACTAGAATTAATGTCTGCAACCTACTCCCAGCTATCAATATCAACTGAGTAAAAGATGTCCATTCCCATGATTCTCAAAATCACTATATTAAACTCCCCATTTTCCTTCTTTTATTACCCAAGTCCTAATCAGATCCTTTAATTTGTTGATTTCTCTTCACAGCATCACCATTTTTTTTCAGTCCTATGGGCTCGAAACCTCAATTGTTGATTCTTCCCTTTTTCCTTTTAATTCTTGAAGATATTTAATCAAGACCATGTCATTTGCATCTACTTTCTCATTCAGTTTCCATGTTTATCACACAACTCAAGCTCCCAACTCTTCCCACAACACCTCTAGCTCTTATTTTTCTTAGTTTTTTGTTTGTTTGTTTAAATCTGGCTCTGACTTCCTACACAGCAGAAAAGCATCCCCCCCAAGAGTGCTCATAATACCATTTTCCAATTTACAAATTTATAAACAGACTATCAAAAAGCAGGCGAGTAGATACAGCTAACACAATTATTAGTAAAACAGACACAAGGAACATGTAGACACAGCTCTGAGGCAAGTAGGGTAGATTAATAAAGTCAGAACATCAATAAACTATGGATTTTTCAGACATCTGGACTGAAGATTGCATATTTTTTTCCTGAAATGTTGTCAAATGTAGCTAATAAGTGGTAAAAATATCAGAAACCAAAGCACAAAAGAAATAAATACTTTGAGACTCACTGTGAGTTCTACTAAAGGAAGTATCAGCTCATCTACTTGATAAAGTGGAATATCAAGAGAATAGTTTTATTTCCCTTAACATGGAAGGGAAAAGGAGACTAGAGACAGCCAATTTAAAAAAAAAAAAAGGCTGAAACTCATCTGGTGTCCAATACACAGAAAGATTCAAACTGCCAGAACATTTTAATCCAGCCTCAGTGCAAATTCCCAGGTGGGACTGTAATATCCATTTACTACAAGGAAAGCTTCTCAAAGTAAACATCCTGAATTTCAATCACCTAACTAACCACTGGGCCGCGCTACTCAGAGTGCTGTCCACAGACCAACAAAATAGGCACCACCTGGGGCTTGTCAGAAAGCCTGAATCTCAGGTCTCCTCTCAGACCTACTTGAATCAGAATCTGCATGTTAACAGAATCCCCAGGTGCTTCGTAGGAATAATAACATTGAAGGAGCTGTGTCTACAGAAGACTCACAAACATACAACCTTGACAAAAACAACAACAAACTTGTAGTTTCCTAATTCAAACTGCATAATCTACATATCTCCTGCATGCCTCATTTAGTATCCAGCTGCTACTTCAGATACTGTTGACTCCTTTCTTCCTCTAGAAACGCTAATCTCATCTTTTTTTAATGCAACAGTTATCTCTCCAGCCACTCCTCCTGTTTCCCAGATAAAGGTCCACTCATTGACCCCTCCCCTAAATTTTGTACTATGACCATGAATAGTTTCAAAATCATAATCCTAGGCATCAGCTAATTTTTTCTCCATTCTTTTTATAGTAAATCTATATTTTATGCTCAAAACTCAATCTTAATCTCAGAGTCTCCTGTCTAAATATTTCACTGATACTTTTTAGATATTCCAACTGGACCTATCACCTACATTTCTGCCAGGTATTCCAAAACCTAACTCATTTTCCTTCTTTCAAAACATCCTTTCTCTCTTTGATTTTGCTATTTAAATTTGGTGTCACCAACAGTTTCTCCATTGAACATTATGGAGTTGTCCTGATAATTACCCACTTTTTTTTTTTTTACTTCCTTGCCATTTATTTCCTGGACTCTAATAATACCTCTTCATTAGTCTCTGTTATCAATCCATTTTTATTTCCAGGCAAATCAAATCATTCTTCTCACAGCCAACAGAATTAACTTTCCCAAGAAAGAATGGATGGCAATCTCTTTCTTTGAAATTGTTGACTGTACTTGTCTGTAGGATAAAATCCGAGTTCTGTGATTTGGTTTATAGATGCTTCAGCATGTCTCCCACCCTCTTTTACAGCTTCAACTCCTCTGTACATCCTCCACCCCACGTTCTCCACTGTCACCCCACCTCTTCCCTGTGGCCTTTTCCCCTCATTGTTCCATGGAATTTCTCATGAGGTTTCCTTCATCTGAAATACTGTTCCTTCTCTTACCCACATTACAAAATCTTATTTCTATTTCAAAATCTTGCCCAGACAGCAACTCAAGTTGAAGCATGTTTCAAGTCCAGAGTTAGTTTTCTCTCCCACGGGTGCATAGGTCTTTATTCTTCTCTATTTAGTTGATATGGAAATTTATCAGGTTAAATGTCTGTTTCCTGAACTGATTGTTTTTTGCTCTCCAGGCCAGGCATTATATTATATTCTTTTTTTTCTTCATTCTCAGTTCCTCTCATGAGGTTGGTATGTGTTCAATAGCTAAATGACTTATTAATTTTTACTGGGGAGTAGTATCAAACAATGATACAACACATCATTTCAGCTAGGAAAATTGTTTCAAGAACGGAATGATCAAAAATATATTAAAGAAAATACAGAAACATACGCATCTTCATTGTGTCCTTATTAAGTGACAGGCAGTTTATATTTTCTCATTTCTTTCTCCTTTTTTTGCTGATTTTCAGGAATTCTTTATTTTATTGAACTTACTGGAGTGATGCTGGTAATATTTGAACACTAAGTAATTTGTATAAGTTATACCTCTTGTAAGTAGCAGTATTGAAATTTAAACTTTCGTTTGTTAGTTGCTATAATCCGTGCTCTATTGTGTCATAACATATCATCTTCTTGCCAACTGAATACAAATTGTAATATTTTAATGCTCCTTTTGCAATTAATTATTTGCCTTGTGGAACTGCAAATACCTCCAAGATATTATAATAGTAATTTTATATGTCATACAGAA